AACAGAAACAGCGGCAATGCTTGGCCCACTTTAACCATTAAAGACGGACAGGGTCAATGGCGATTTTTGAACAGAAAACTCAATTGCTTAAATGCAGGTAATGACAGTCAAGGCACTGAGATGGTTTTACAAGAAACGCCGAACAATGACAATAGATTGAGAATAGGAACAACAGGAGGTGTCGCACAAGTGGGAATAGGAGTAGCAGGAGCAATTGGTAAAGTTTTAAATGTAGCAGGAGAGTCGCAATTTGTAGATGTTAATATTACTAGTGATTTAACATTAACAGGGCAACAATTAATAAATACAAAAAGTAGAGTATTTCAAAGAGCAGACGCTAATAAGAGTTTAAATATTATTGGCGAAAAAGAGATTAATTTCAGTCTTCAAACTACACGAACTGACGACCCTACAACAGGTAGCATTGCTTTACAATTAAATGATAGTCCATCTACCATAACAATGAATAGACCGACGACAGTAAATCAAACATTAAAGGTTCTGGGGTTATCCATAGCAGAAGCAGGTATGAGTGTATGGGGCGATTAAAATTTTCAGCATTCTTCAGGAATTAAAGAAGCATTAAACGGTAGTGATTATGATTTAGATATAAGAAATGGAGACACCGACAGAGCAATTAATTTTATCATAGGAACGATAGGAAGCACATCGGAACTTCAATTAACAGAAGGGAAAGTGAATTTATTAGGAAATTTAGAAATTACACACGAAGATATAACAGGACTGCAAAGGGTGTTAATTAACAACCCAGATGACGACGGATGGATAAGATTAAGCATAATAACTTATCAAGATTAGACGCAACAAAGAGTGGTGTTGATGTGTATGGATTTTTTTACAACGACAAACAACGCAGATATAAACGGAACTTTAACCTGCACGGCATTAATTGAAACATCCGACTGTAAATTAAAAGAGACTGCTAAAGAAGTGAATACCAACGATTGTTATAGTGTAGTTAAATACATTAAGCCGAAAACATTTACTCTTATTAAAGATGAGGATAAGAAGTCAAACTTAGGTTTTATAGCCGACGATGTAAAAATGCTAAGCTACCACCAGAATGGGAAAACAAAATATTTTATATCGATGATGGTATGAAATTATTAGCATATAATAAGATGTCAGTTATCTTGTGGGGTGTTATGTAAGAAATGCAAAAAGAAATAACCTTTTTGAAAAGTGAGTTGACAAAGCTGAAGAAGAAGATGAAAAACGATAGCGATTAAACATATTCATCTAAATTTCATTATATGGGTTCTACATCATCTAAATCTTGTGCTACAGAAAATATGCAACAAATACAAGAATTAGATATTAATGAAAAACAAGAACAGATATGTTGTTATTTAACACTTTGAAAGATGTTATTGAAAGAGTTGAAAAATTGGAAGAAACAAAAAGCTATAAAATATAGTATAAGCTGCCTGCTCTAAACTTGTGTAGTTACTCATTGATTTAATTAATAATATTATCAACACATAATATTATTAAACACCTCTTTCAAAGCCTTGTTCAAAGTTAATGAAGAACATATTACTAACATCTTTAGTGTTGGTGTTTATGTAGAAGAACGAGTAAGGGGCAAAATTCACGGCTTTTTGATACATCTCATATAAGCTCTTTTTATCTACTGGTGCTGAGTTCTCTTCAATAAACGCATTCACTTCATTCATATTCTTGAGTCTAAAAATAAATAATGCAGTACTGTTTATGCGAATGATAGGTGCCAATACATTATATTTCTGAGTGGATAAGATGACACTTATGGCGTTATGACGACCTCTTGTGAAAAGACCGTGCAGGATATTTGAGTATCTTACAAAACGTGGGTCATCTCTAAAATCATCCACCACTAACAGAATGCTAAATAAATCTTGTTGTTTATTCTTCTTCTGAAAATCAATGACTTTATGTTGAGTGTCTATGATCTTCTGTAGCGCCACCCCTCATAATAAAGCTGTTCTTTTTCTGCATCTACTTTCATTACATCCCTTAAGTATTTCTTTACTGCCGACCAAGTGTCATCAACATGAACACTGGGTGAAAAGATGTATATTCTCTCAAAAGATCCTTTGTAGATTTTTAATATCAAGTTCTGTATCAATACCGTTTTACCACCTGTTGAAGAAGCCACGCATAACATCCGCGCGGGTAGCTTCGGCATCATATCAAACTTGCTGTCTTTATATGTATATTCGGGTATGTCTATCGGTTCTTCTTTGGGGATTTCTGTATTCATTAAATAATAAGAGAAAAATATCTTTTAATATAATGGGATATGATAAATATGTAAGTGCCATTAATAATATAGAAGAAGTTGAAGAAATGATAATAACTGAACCAAACTATAAACGCTGTTGCTATTCTATTCTAGAAACTTGTAAGGGTGTGCTACAATTTTGAAAAATGAAGAAAAATTAATTTAAAGATAGTTATTATAATGGAAGGAACAACAGCAATGAAAGAATATGATGACGAATTTTTTAAATTAACCCCTACGAGTTTAAACTGCTTGCCATGCCGATGTAGAAGGAATTTATATCCTAAAGAAACTAAAACAACTATTGATAAAGATAAGAAAACCGTTTCAATTGTTGAAGATAGAACTAGTTATAAATTAGGTAGGGGAATATCACCTGAAGCTAATTTTTTTTAACCAGAACAACAAGGAAGCGTGGCGATATGTGATACTGGATTTGGTGGAAGACATATAACACCAGAAGAATGTGAAGAACAAATTCAGAAAAGCGCAGATGATATTAAGGACTTGAAAATAAAATTAGAAGTTAAATTATTAAAAAACAGAAGAAGATATTAAAGAGTTAAAAAAGACATTAGACAATTAGACAAAGATGTTGATTTTATAATAAACATGAAGTAGTTTAAAAAAGGAAGCAATTAACAAATAATATTGATCAAATACAACAATCGTCATCATCTTCTAATGAAGAAACTATGAAAATATAAACATCATAAACATATTTAAACAAAATATCTAAATAATTTTGACAGGTGCCGCCCATGGCAGGTGCAAGTCCCCATGAAACAGAAACAAGGCAAGTTCCCCACTTCTTCATAAGCACGCCATAAGAGCGTGGAAATGAGAGTAATTAGTATTTAGTTTCGTTAAATCTTAAGGGAATTGATATATTACTTCGTAATATATAAATCGCTTTGCGAATTCACAACCTCTTTTCATAATCTCGTATTATGAAAAAAGTGTATATTATATTAATATAAATGCCAACTAAAGTAAATAAGATCTTAGTTGATTTTGAACCGTATAGCGAACCAGTTAATGTTGTTACTAGGAAGTGTTACCGTTGTAAGCAAGTCAAAAACATTGATTGTTTCAAGCGCTGCTATTGCAATAGTAAGCACTATTATTATTATGTTAAATACACTATGACTTGTTCTGAATGCTTAGATAAAAGCAGTTTAAAGGGATAGTGTTATTAATAGTAGTAAGATGGAGACAATCAAATGCACAAGATGCCACGAGTTCAATAGATTGGGCAACCTTGGCGCAATCATTAAATGCAGAGAGAAGAGAAAGGAATACAAGAAAACTAAAATTGTGGATAAGAAGCCTGAAGTTGATGAGGTGTTTGATCATGTGTGGCAGTTGTTAATGAATGATCTGTTTTGGGAGAACTACTTTATGATATTTGGAAAGCACAAGGACAGGGTGATGATTGAGATACCTGTGGATGACAAGCCGAAATAAACAGACTAGTTCTCTTTATGCAGTGATACTATGATGTAACTATATTATATAACTGCTTATGTATTATAATTACATTAGAGTTACAACCCTTAACCCTAAACCCTGAACCAAATTCTATAAGGAACCCCTTGCCCAGTTTGGCTAATAATACCGCCTTAGAGAATATAGATGGGGTAATTGGTTATTCCTATACTTGTATTGATAAATGGGGAAGTAGTAGTGACATATGGGGTGGGGTGTAGGGGGGAAGTCTAGTAATAATCGTCTAATGGGTTGACGGTGGGATTATTACCCAAACTGGGCAAGGTATGCTCTAACTCTTTAAGGGGTCCTAAAGGGGATCTTTAGCGGTTCCTTTTAAAGGAAACCCTGAAAGGAACCCTTAGAAAAAACCCTAAATTTTGTGGATCCTTCAAAGCCGCAACTATGCGTCTTGCAGAGTGTTATAGTATTACCTTGCAGATTTGGGGGTTAGGGGTTCGGGGTTTAGGGGATTTAGGGTTTAGGGTCATTGCAATGGTGAGGGATTAGGGTTTAGAGTGATCACTGACAGAAGCAGTTAATCTTTCGTACCGGTAGTCGCAGTGCAAGTAGCTTACGACCGATTCGATTGCGCGTCTTAAGACATATTGCATACATGGTCGCAGCTAGCTGCCTTCTGGTTCGCAGAGGGTCCCGGCAAGAAAAACCATCCACCCTTGACTCCCTTCGCTTGGCGACTGTCAGCGATTTCCCTGCACATGAGTGACTCCAGGTACATGAAGGCACTAGTGCATGTACTTGGGCTATCCTGCCAACATCTCCGGATTGCATGAGGTCGTGGTGACGACTTCCAGTGCACGTGATCTTTGCCTTGTAGGCTTGAAACCGCTTAGATTATGTTCCCTTCCCTCCGCATGGTTTCGTACAGTTGGAGGAGTCGGGAAGCGTGCAGGTCCTGCAGCCAGATTCGGCTAAAGCAGTGTACCGAGTACATGGATATGGGCAAGTGAAGAAGAGGAGGGTGTCTGAGTGAAATGCATCAAACTCATTTTCACGATCTAGATACCTTTCGCCGCAAGCCTTGCGCTTTGTATTTAACACTCTGCATTGAAGTGACGAATACATAACCTGAACTGATGGCGGTGATGGTAGCAGTAGTAGTAGGAAGAGGAGGAAAACAGTCCAAATCGCCAACCTTGCAGCAAAGACTTATATTATAATCATTCACAAGCTCAAGCTCGTAAAGTCCCGCATAAGCAACTGGGTCCTGACCCCGAGCATCCCGCACGAAGAGTCGAAGTGGCCCAGCTGCCATGGCAGTCGCATGGCCCAAGAGCTCAAAATCTCAACAACCTTTGAGGTGCAGTTTTTCAGGAATCGCAGGTGCGGGGTTTTGGGACTTAAAATTGGGCATTGTAGGGATTCAGGTTTTGAGCTTGGAGGCTTTAGATATGAGGATTCACAGTCTAGAGGCTTGTGGTTCAAGGAAGCGTTTCCCAGGTGCCATCAGAGTCTAGACAGGCTGCTCCGTTAGGATGCTAATTACTAGGTCACCAGGTCTTGGTGGGCTCGTAGTAGAGGTGTTGTTCTGAAGAGCTGAAGGGTGAATCTCTTCGTTCGGCCCGTTCGGCATGTCCCATGTGATTTTTCTAATCATTGTTGCGATGGATGCCAGAACACAATATTATACTTAAAACTCTGAACTACTTCTGTTGGATTTTATTTTTGGGTATACGCACCTGGAGTGGCACGAGCCGCTCCGGCTTTCAACTTCTGCTCATGCAGTGATGTAGTCTTGCAATCTCCAATGCCCCGCCTGCTAGAAAGCAAACTCTTACTCTCGTTGCTCTACTTCGAATACGACAACCACTCGGAGATGACTACCACCGCCAACACCTCCACCACAACCTACACCACCGCCGCCGCCACTACCGCCGCCACCACCACGCCGCCACCACCACCAGCAGCACCAGCACCAGCACCAGCACCAGCACCAGCACCAGCACCAGCACCAGCACCAGCACCAGCACCAGCACCAGCACCAGCAGCAGCAGCAGCAGCAGCAGCAGCAGCAGCAGCAGCAGCATCACCAGCACCAGCACCAGCACCAGCACCGCAGCCGCACCAGCACCGGCAACGGCACCGGCACCGGCACCAGCACCAGCACCCAGCACCAGCACCAGCACCGACTACGATCGACGACGACTACTAGTACAACTGTTCAACTATTGCCACTACTCCTACTACTAATACTACTGCTACTGCTACTGCTACGGCTACGACTACGACTACGACGACGACTACTGCTACTACTGCTACTACTGCTGCTACTGCTGCAACTGCTGCAACTGCTGCTACTGCTGCTACTGCTGCTACTGCTGCTACTACTGCTACTACTGCTACTACTGCCACTACTGCTACTACTGCTACTACTGCTACTGCTACTGCTACTGCTACTGCTACTGCTACTACTACTACTACTACTACTACTACTACCACTACTACCACTACTACCACTATTACTACTACTACTACTACTACTACTACTACTACTACTACTACTACTACCACTACCACTACCACTACCACTACCACTACCACTACCACTACCACTACCATTACCACTACCACTACCACTACCACTACCACTACCACTACCACTACTACTACTACTACTACTACTACTCCTACTACTACTACTACTACTACTATTACTACTACTTCTACCTGCTGCTACTACTACCACTGATCGTGTTAATCAAAACGACAAAATGACAAACATATCCATACGAAAGCAGATAACATGAAAACAAATACGCTCCCATAAAAGTACCAACACTAGCTGTGATATTGAAGAAACAACTAATTAATCACATCAGCAGTAGCCTAGAGAAGGGCGTGGCCAGGCTAAGGCAGGATTCTGGGATGACTTATTTTCCAACATATTTCCAGTTTTACATTCAATTTTATTTCCAGCCTTGGGTCTATTTCCAAATAACTTTCCAATAGTGATTCAATTTTGTTTCTGGCTTCACGTCAAATTTATTTTCAATGTTGTTTCCAGTTTCTGCGGTTCGGTCACTAATTTTGTAGACAAGGCCAAGGGGAAGAACGGGGCCGGGGTTGGAAAATCTGAAATTTGGAGAGGCCGCGAGAAACATTCAATGTTTTTTCAATTTTGATTTCAAGTTTGGTTCCGATTTCTGCAATTCGGGCACTGAGTTCGTAGACAAGGCCAATGGGAAGAACGGGGCCGGGGTTGGAAAATCTGAAATTTGGAGAGGCCTCGAGAAATATTCAATATTTTTTCAATGTTGAAGTCAATTTTGTTTCCGATTTCTGCGGTTCGGGCGGGGTGGTGGAAGGAACCGCCAGGGTGACCCTGCAAGCCTATCCCGAACTCGTGTTGGAACTACCTTTTGGAAATATTTTGGAAACGGAATTGAATCCTGCATCCCAACTGAATGTTTTGCTGAAGTTCCAACTACAAAATAATTACGACCTACAAGCTGGCCCTTAGCCTGGGGCGCCCATCACTACAGTAGCCGTGATATGAATAGCAACAGCAACAACAACATCAACAACAACAGCAACAACGAACAACAACAACAACAACAACAACAACGACAACAACGACAACGACAACAACAAGGTACAAACAAAAACTGCAGCCCCGTCAACCCATATATCTGCTTTTTGTCTGTACATTAGGTAGAGACAAGAACAGGAGCCCCGTCATGTTGTTTTACCCCCCCCACCACCACCACCAACAACAACAACACAGTGCCTGTGGATGCCTGTGATGTATACTGTTTGGTGTGTATTTCAATGGATTTCGTGCGTATTTCAGTGGATTTCGTGTGTATTTCAATGGATTTCGCGTGTATTTCAGTGGATTGCGCGTGTATTTCAATGGATTTGGTGCGGAGTTCAGTGGATTTGGTGTGTATTTAAATGGATTGTGTGTATTTCAATGGAATTCGTGCGTATTTCAGTGGATTGCGTGTGTATTTCAATGGATTTGACATTGGTGTTTATTTCAATGGATTTGGTGTGTATTTCAATTATTTCAGTGGATTTAATGTGTATTTCGGCGGATTTGGTGTGTATTTGGTGTGTATTTCAATGGATCTGGTGTGTATTTCAGTGCATTTGGTGTGTATTTCAATGATTTTGGTGTGTACTTCAGTTCCCCGCCGTGCAGAATATGCATTCGCGAGGCCAGAACAAACTACTGTATAGTAACTGGTAACTATAGTTTTGAGTGATGGGTATCCAATGCAAACCACTCAAAATTCCAGACAAGCCCCTCCAACACCCATCAGAACCCCTTCTGGATATCGCAGATTCCTATACCTGTGGTGGAAATGTGGTGTAATGTGGGCGGTTGTTGTAAAGGGGGGGTGGTCAAAACAACAGACGGGGCTCCAGTTTTTGCCTCTACTACATCGGGTAGAGACAAAGTCCTGATTTCGCTGGTGCCTTTGTCTCTACCCCCTGTAGTAGAGGCAAAAACTGGAGCCACGTCTGTTGTTTTGACCCACCCCTTTTACACCAACCACCCAGCCTACACCGCATTTCTATCATGCGGCAGGCATGGCTTGAACTTCCCAAAACTCTACAGGTACCTTATGCGGTCGCCGGAAGCATGCCCAATTGCTTCTAATTAACAACAAGTACGGGCTGCTGTTTTTGTCTGTACCAACAACAACAACAACCACAACCACGACCACAACCACCGCTACCGCTATTGTTGCTACTGCTACTAGCCCTTCGGCAAGCCAGAAACGCCCTCCCGGAAGGCCGACACTGCGTCCTCGGGATGCTGAAGACCGGTGCAAGCCTGTAGTACCTTTGGTGAGGTGCCGATTGGCGATGCTGTGGGGTGGGGGGCTCTCTAGACTGGGGCTCCTTGCAGAGTCCCTATGTTTGAGGCACGAGTTTGGGTCCCGTTCGGGGCCCCTAATATAAGGGAACGACACAGAGCCCTCCAACAAATGCCCGCAACATTGTTGCGCTGCAACCACCAAGACACGAAACTTGAATAGCAATACTCCATTGCCAACGTAGCAGCAGCTGTAGCAGTAGCAAGAATCGTACTGATAGTGGCGGTAATGGTAGTAGTAGTAGTAGTCGTCGTCGTCGTAGTAGTAGTAGTAGGGGTAGCAGTAGGAGGAGTAGGGATAGGAGTAGTACTGGGAGAAGCAGCAGCACTGTTGACTGCCACCTATCCGTTTCAAACTGGAATTGATGTCAAACAAGGTTTGTGTGCAAACGGACGAAAGATGACGCAACCCCGCATCACGCAGGTGAACCATCAGTTTTGACATTAGACGGATGGGGGGGTGTCATTAACTTCACATGTCGTACTCGTGTTGCAGTGCGACAAGCAAGATTTAATCCCCCCGTGGCAGCAGTAGAAATACCCGTAGTGGTAGTAGTAGCCGTCGCAGTCGTCGTCGTCGTAGGCGTAGCAGCATTGGTAGCAGTATTGGCAGCAGTAGTAGTAGTAGTAGTAGTAGTAGTAGTACTAGTAGTAGAAGTAGAAGTAGAAGTAGAAGTAGTAGTAGTAGTAGTAGTGGTGGTAGTAGTAGTAGTAGTATGATGATGATGATGTGAACCCTGTGGAAACATGCATAAATTTACTTCAATTCAGAGGTACTTGAAAGAATTATTGTGGACTTGTTTGTAAGAAGGGTCCTACTATTCAACCTGTATATTCAGCCCGCTGAATTCCTGAAACTCGCGCAGTGGTTGCTCAGGTGCAGACGGTGACGATGGTTGCCAAGGAGCCAGCAGCAGGCGTCCTAACGAGCATCACTGCTGCATTCGACGAACGGTTTGGCTTGAAACGATACTGGCTCAGTGTTGCAGGTATCCAGTTTACGACGTTGTTGTTGTTGGAGTTTGGGGTGGCCGCTGCCATGAACTTCCTGCATCCGGCATTGCTGTAACCTGCATGCCGCGGTGATGATCTGGCATTCAAGGCATCGCTAATATATTTGTGGCTTAGGATTTCCTGCCTACGGCTGGAAGTTTCCAACGGGAGGAATTACTTACGGGTTTGGGACTACGGTCTATGGTTTCTGCACATTCATGAAGGCGAAAGGTGAGCGGCTTTGGAAGGGACCAACAGGAGTACGTGGCCCAACACATGTTCAGCATCCAACATATATTAGCTGGGGCCGTAAACGCTACACTTGAGTCTCTGTACATTGACCTGCCGTCTCCCAAGGCACACAAACAAACATTCAAAATTAGGCCCCTGCTCGTTGTCTTCATCGTCGTCGTCCCGATGGTCCATGAGTTGGCCTC